GCAGAAGGTGCGACGAGTTTAAGACATGGCTGAGAAACACAACTGTTGCTAAGCAGGCCAACACGTTATATATGATGATGGTTTATAGACTAACAGAAGTACATGGACTTGGGAAATGGTTTAAAATAAGCTGACTGAGCTGCCACTCATTTCTCCTGAGGAGCAGCTGGCTATACTCAGAGGTGGGAGGTAATGAAGTACAAATACTTTGTTACTGTACTTGAGTAGTTATTTTTCTTGCAACTTATATAAATAAAATAACTATAATTGTGCAGTGTGCTAATGATATATCAGTGGTTACTTCAGAGTGTTTATCAGAGTGACGTAGCTGAGACACTCATCCATGTGCACAACACAGAGCGGGTGATGGCAGCAGCTCCTGTGGAACTTTCACAGCTGCCACAGGAAGAACCTCATCTGGGCCTTGTTCTGCACATGGTGGATCACTTCAGATTCCTTAGGATCCACCTTTTTGTGATGTGAAGTGGTCCTCACATACAGACTGTTGTTGAGGATGGCGAGAGGGCGGAGCATCCGGTAGTTTCTCCACAGTCTGTACCAGTGGACCAGCTGATCCACCTCCGCTCAGACCGCATCGTCATTCTGGATCAGACCGATAATGGTGGTGTCATCAGCAGCGTTGTTACTTTGAAAAAGTAATTAATTATAGTTACTAGTTACTTCTTCAAAAAATTAACTGAGTTAGTAACTGAGTTACAAGATTCTAAAAGTAATTAATTACTAGTAATTAAGTAACTATTGCGTTACTTTAAAAAATAACGTGTAATCCTCTGGGCTCCAGGGTAGAATTGGCCGTTGCCCACAGTTCACCTTTAAAACTGTTTATTTGCCTTGTTTGGTCTCATCAGCACAGCCTCACGTGTCTGAATCTACAGTCATGTTTTCATTTTGACAAACTGTATTAATCAAACACACAAAGAACAGACAACCAAGCTTGATGAAGTCCCTGCATGACTGCGGGACAGACGGTCAGCAGAGTCTGAGCCCAGCATAGCTCTCAGTGAAATACCTTCTCCAGGAACAAAAGGCAGTACACAGCTGTTTCACACCTTAAGGTTCACACTCCCTTGCTACCTCCCAGAGTCCTCGAAGACACAAAAGACTCTTCCTGTGGAGTTGTCTGCTTCCCCCAACTTCCTTACTACACCACCCCCACCATTTGTCTTACTGTATGAGTGTGAGACATGTTAAAATCCAGTGGCACCAAGGCATCATACAATAAAATAATGTGATTAATACATAAGTAAAAGAAATTCCTGTACATGCCCCTTCCTGATTTCTTATGTTTTAACATGTTTGTTACACTTACATGTTTCCAAATGTTAACACAGATGTTCAGAGTAAATACAGATTGTAGTTTTTTAAATGATGATTTCATTTAGTTTGGGGAAACAGCTCCAACTTTACCTCATGTAGAAAAAGTCATTTCCTTCTAAACCTAATAAGTGGTTTTGTCATCTAGCAAGAACTGCAATCGAGCATTTGCAATAACTAATAAAAAAGCACTTGTGACAATTGTGTTGGTGACAGCTTTTGTTATAATATCAATAATATTTCTATGAATATGGGATACTGTTACATGTTTGCACAGACTTTTGTGGAATATGGAGACACTCCTGGCATTATATGAGCAAAGTGAGACTCATTTTTTAGGGTTGGTGGAGATGAGTGTGAAGATCCAAACAATCCCTGTCAGTGATGGAGAAGCTTTGATGGAAATATTTGGTAAAAAGTTCACCAGCATGAAGGAAATGAAGTTTCAAACTTTCCTTAGGAGGAGCCCAGCACGCCTGCTTAAAGAAAAGTGAGTGTGGCGATGTGGATGCTTGCAGCGACTGCTGTATAGAGGCCATCCTGCTACACATGAAACACATCAGAGTCATAACTGTTATTTTAGTCACGTGTTTGTTTATTATCCTTATTGTTTTATCTGGGACTGTTTGCAGACATCTCAGAGAGAGGAGACACCAGCATCTGAACAGAGACTCAAACCAGCAACCTGCAGCTCCCTGCTTGGCTGCTCCAGTTTTCTCCTCACTCATGTTGCCCACCAGTGATTTCTAGCTGCCCACCCACACAGCAGGCTAGAATATGTGCTGAGCCTCAGCACCCAATACTTGGACATGTTTTCTTTATTAATCAATGAACCAGACCCCAAAAGTAAACAGCTGTTATTGCTAGGCAACGGGAGCAGCATTTGGCGATGCAGCACCTGACATTCCTGACCATGTGGGCGGAGCATGCATGAAATGGAATGTTCAGTAGAACTGTGCAACACAAGCACTTAGTTCCAGCATGTTTCATTGTATCCAGACACAGCTAGAGACACATCTACAGCAGCATCTCTGTGCAGGACAAACGACAGTTGACGAAGAAACATCGAAAACTTCACTTCACTCCTCTACAAAACGTTGGTTCCTTTGTTTAAAAGGCCAAAATGAATCGAGGGAGAACGAGAAGAGGATCGGCGAGTGCTTCACCATGCATTACAGTACGGCTGATTCATTTTAAATTTCAAATGATACAGGCTGAAAATGTCAAATTAAAAGAAGAGGCAGAAAAATCAAGAGGAGAAGCTAAAAATTCACAGTTTGAAACTGAAGTAGTATTGCAGGAATTACTGCATGTGGGCCTCAAACTTAAAGGAGAGAAAATGGGAAAACAACAGGCAGAAAAGGAGAATGAAAACATGAAGAAAGAACTGTTGGAAGCTCAAAAAGCATTGGAGGAAGAGAAAAGCACAGCACAAGAAGCCAAAAATAAATATCAAACTGCAAAGAAGGAGGCAGGAAATGTGCTGCAGGAATTACAGGAGGTGCAGGAAGATTTTGAAGAGGGCAAAAGGAAAATGCAGTTGGCAACTCAAGAAGCTGCAAATGTAACGGCTGAAGCTGAAACACTAAGGAAGGAATTACTGCATGTGAAGCAACAACTTGAAGAGGAGAAAAAACGTAACCACGAGGCAGAAAATGAGATTGAAAATATGAAGAAAGAATTGTTGGAAGCTCAAAAAGTGTTGGAGGAAGAGAAAATTAAAACACAGGAAGCAAAGAAAGAAATGGAAGATACAAAGAGTCACAATGAAAACATGAAGAAGGAACTGATGAAAGTGCAAGAAAAACTTGCAGAAGAGAAAATTGAGGTGAAGGCATTCAAGAAAGAAATGAGCGGCTCTGCGGTGACCAAGAAAGACTGCAAAGACGCACTTAAAGAAATACGAAAGCACAAAAAGGAAGCTAAAGAGCTCCTCAAACACAAAGGGAAACTGGCCGAACAGCAGCTGAAAGAAACATTTAAAGATGCCGAGGAGCAGCTCAACAAAACCTTAAAAGAGCTGAAGGCAAAAGCAAAGCAAGCCGAGGACAGGAGGGGATTCTGGAGCAGACTGCTGAGAAAGAACTGACCCAGCAGCATCCAGTTTGAGGACATCAATAGTTTCTTCCTCCTCTCTCCACCTTTCTTTCTCCCCATCCTTCTTCTTGGGACGTTTGTTTGTTTTTAAAAACTCTAATCTAAATACATGCACTGAAACACACAAATAAAATTGCCATAACTTGACCTCATGTTGCCTGCTTCTTTTCTTGTGTGTCTGTGGATGTAAAACAGTAACACACCTCCTGCTCTGTGTCTTTAATTGTAAATAACTGCAATATGTTTTCATTTTAAAATGCAGTGCAAAAAACTTCTGCTCTGAATCTTTTTTTTAGCAAAAAGCTTTTTTTTGCCTGTTGTGGAAGTTTTCCATTCAAATAAAGCTGCAGACGAGCGGTAGCTAACATTCTTTAGCTAAAGTCAGATAAAAACCATAAAATCCGTAGAAAAGGTGATATTTTCACCGTAACAACCACAAACATGTTTAATGAATCATATTTCATAACTTTCAATGCAAATATAAATTGTCAATTTTAAAATCATATGCACAAGTTTTGCAAACAAAGTTATTTACAGCCATTTCAAACTGTTTACAGAACAATCAGCTGTTCTTCAAGAAGATGCCACAAATTATTTGTGCCACTCCAAATATTTCTGTCCATTATAAAGGAGAACATCACAGCCTGATACCTGCAGGTCTGACAGCAGCAGGTGTATCACTGCTGTTTCTACCTGGAGACAGCAGTTGCAATCTTGACAAGACACAAATGAACAACTACAGGCCGATCTCAAATCTCCCATTTTTAAGTAAGATCATTGAAAAAGCAGTTTCTCAACAGCTCAGTTACTTCTTAAAACAGAATAATTGCTACGATGCCTTCCAGTCAGGTTTTAGACAGAACCACAGCACTGAAACCGCTCTGACCAAAGTGTTTAATGACATATGTCTGAATACAGACAGTGGAAAAATGTCAGTCCTAGTTTTACTGGATCTCAGTGCAGCATTTGATACAGTTGACCACAACATATTACTCAAACGACTGGAGAACTGGACAGGTCTTTCAGGAACTGTACTAAACTGGTTCAAAACATACGTAGAAAACAGGAAATACTTTGTATCAATAGGTAACTTCACATCTGAGCAGACAAGTATCACATGTGGAGTTCCCCAAGGTTCCATCTTGGGACCCCCTCTGTTTAACATTTACATGCTCCCACTGGCACAGATTATAAACAACAACAAAATAAACTACCACAGCTATGCAGATGACACACAAATATATATCACAATGTCACCAGGAGACCGAGGCCCTGTACAGGCTCTTGGTAAATGCATTGAGGAAATTAATAACTGGCTGTGTCACAATTTTCTCCAGCTAAACAAAAACAAAACTGAGGTAATAGTCTTTGGCGCCAAAGAAAAACGATTACAGGTCACCAGAGAACTTCAATCTATACATCTAAAAACCACAAACCAGGCGAGAAATTTGGGTGTAGTGATGGATGCAGACCTAAACTTAGAAAAACACATTAAGACAATAACAAAGTCAGCTTACTATCACCTCAAGAATATATCAAGGATAAAAGATCTGATGTCTCAACAGGACCTGGAAAAACTAGTCCATGCATTCATCTTTAGTAGGCTTGACTACTGTAACAGCATCTTTACAAGTCTACCTAAAAAATCAGTCAGACAACTACAGCTCATTCAGAACTCTGCTGCTCGAGTCCTCACTAAGACCAAAAAAGTGGACCACATCAGTCCAGCTCTGAGGTCCTTACACTGGCTGCCTGTCCGTCAGAGGATAGACTTTAAAGTTCTGATGCTGGTCTATAAAGCTCTGAATGGTTTAGGACCAAAATACATCAATGACCTCCTGACCCAGTATGAACCTTCCAGATCCCTCAGGTCATCTGGATCCGGTCTTTTATCAGTTCCCAGAGTCAGAACCAGACACGGAGAAGCTGCATTCAGCTTTTATGCTCCTTATATCTGGAACAAACTCCCAGAAAGCCTCAGATCAGCTGAAACACTCAGTTTATTTAAATCCAGGTTGAAGACTCACCTGTTCTCAGCTGCATTTGAATAAAACACCAAATCCACACTTTTAAGCTTAAATTTCAAAACTTACATTTAACTACTGATTTTATCTGTTTTGTTTGTTTGTTTGTTTGTTAATTAGTTAGTTAGTTTGTTTGCTTGTTTTAATAAATTTTAAATCATGCTTTTTATTTGTTTTTGTTTCTAATGTCTCTGTAAAGCACTTTGAATCACCTTGTTGTTGAATTGTGCTGTACAAATAAACTTGCCTTGCCTTGCCTAGTTTTCGGCTGATGATTCAGGCCTGTCTCCTTCTGTTCAGGATTTGGCTAGATGTTGTGAAAAGGCTGAAATGATCGGCTTAAGTTGTCTTCTGCAGTCTTTTGGTATTGCTGAGCTGGCCAGAGCATCCTTTTTTGTTTGAAAGAATATGTCACATGATCTAAACTACTTCCTGTTTGTCTGACATGATTTTTTTCCAGCCTAATAGTAGCTCTCTTCACTTGTATCCACGTTTCTTTGCTACCCAATTAAAGTCCAACACCTGACTTCACTTGGAATAAAGAAGCTTCGCCTGGCCATGAAGCTCCCTGACACTCCAACTAGTGTTGAGTCTCTGAAAATGAGACTGTTTAAAAAGCCTGTATATCCGAAACTGCTGATGCAGCACTTTTGTCAAACCCTTTGAATCGAAGCTGAAAGTCTTCAGTCACATCTGGATTATCTGATTTAAAATCCAACAATGTTCAATGGATTGTACTGGGACTGTTTTTAAACGTAAACCCACAAAAGTAAATTCATGGACCCAAATGGTTTGTATGCTGGCTACTCTGATGCCTGTCAGCATACAGGCAGTTCATATGAACAGAAATCTGAACACTCTTCTTCCAGGAATGAGTTTCTTTGGTTTTTGTATGAATATGAATAAAGACTAGCTCCAGTGCTGTTACTACACGTATGACAGTCCTTTCTGTATCTGTCTCCTAGGTTGAAGAAGGATGATGAGTCTCTGTCCATCCCCAATGTGAACGAGGGTGACGAGGGGACGTACACCTGCACTGCTAAATCTGAGATAGACCAGCTCTCAGCCTCTGCTCGCCTCACTGTGTTAGGTACACTCACATACAGACTGGACATTGTGTTGTTTCATTAGTTCATTACTCTGAGTGTACTCTTAAAATATGTCATTTTCTCTTACATTTACACTTACCAACAACAGTCACCTTTATGTAGTAAGGCAGACCTACAATGATACATACAGAGGAAACCCAACAATCAATGGCCCCCTGTGAACACGCTGTGGATTTAGGCAGACATGGCTAAAACGTGTGTTGGCCCTGCGACAGACTGGCGACCTGTCCAGGGTGTACCCCGCCTCTCGCCCTATGACAGCTGGGATAGGCTCCAGCGCCCCCCGCGACCCTGAAAAGGACAAGCGGAAGCGAATGGATGGATGGATGGATGGCTAAAACATGTAAAGCACTGGTTTCAGCTGCTGAAGACGTGTGCATACATACTGCACATGTAACTGCACTAGGGATGGGTATTGATAAGATTTTAACGATTCCGATTCCATTTTCGATTCTGTTTAACGATTCGATTCTTTATCGATTCTCTTATCGATTCTTTTTTAAAAAAAAGGAGAACACTAAAGTCGATTAGCTTAGAACTGTGTTTTATATCTTCTCTTTGAACAAGATAGAAATTTAGGAGTAACATGGCCTTACAAACCCAACAGTGAGATCTCAAGAGATCCAGCCTACGGCTCTTCAATGGGGTGTCACAGGGTCCCCAGGAAAAAAAATGTAAATGTAAAATAATAAAATAAATATTCTCCTGTAGCAATAACAAAGTGTAACATAAATTATTCTGTAGCAATTACACAAGAATATCCAGTAATGTCCCTGCCTACAATTAAACACATTCACTTACCAAAGTGAAATCGGGGGCATGTGCTGCGGCAAATGGGTGCAAGCCTTTGACCACAAACTTAGACACTGCTGGGTGACATTCGTCTATCCTGGCCTGAAAGGAGACGCTGCCGGTAGACTGCAGCGAGAACTGCCAGCATCTGAGCCAGCCAGACTCTGTCTCTCTCATCATGGTTATCTAAATGCAACGCACAGTAATAGCAGGTTTTGTAATAAGGTAAATCGCGCTAACATAATATGCAATGCTAATTGATTAGTTACCTGCAGTATTAACGGGAGAGGACGTGGAAACGCTACCGCTGCTGCTGGGTTGAGCTTCGCTAGTCCGGAGCGGATCAAAAACACGACATTCGTTGAAAGCAATCGCGTGTTTTTTGAGCAAATGCTTTTGCATATTCGTAGTGTTTCCTCCCTTTGATGAAATCTCTACTTTGCAAGTATTGCATGTTGCCCTGTTGTCATCCTTTCTCATAAAGTGTAACCAAACTTTTGAGCGTTTGTGCCGCTCAGGCGCCGTGTTTCCTACTGGGTAAAAGACGCTACTCAACGTGATGACGTCATTCGGGGCGACTGGAATCGATAAGGGAATCGTTTTTAAAAGTGGCAAACGATTCCAAGGAATTGAAACAGTGGGAACCGGTTCTCAACAAGAACCGGTTTTCGATACCCATCCCTAAACTGCATTTGGTGAAAGACCTTCTGTTACTTTAGACTTTCATGTTCATGTTGCTTCAGATCATTGTGATGGCTCTGATGCTTGAATGAAACTAGTCAGTCTGCACTTTGATGGTGTCAGGATGTGACAAAGAGCTTCAGCACATTTCAAGGCTTCAGTTTTATGCACGGTGCTGTGTATTAGCTGAAAACAGTCATTGTACGTACGAAGCAGATATTTACAGTGAATGTGTAAAAACGAAACAAATCACTGTGATGTGAGAGTCATACAGCATTTTGTAGTTCAGCAGTAGTGTGTGAGACACTGAAAGAAGTACAGCAGTGCTTCCAGTGGCATGCTCCTACACAGACTGATTGAGTCTTTGGGACTGGTTGGAGAACAGCATCGTGTTCCTGAAAACACAACACAGACAGACTGCACCCATTTATTATTCAGAGTCTATATTTAGTCCATCATCAAACATGTCATCTTTCAACAACACGCTTCAAGTGTTCGTGAGCAAAGAACACCAACTGCTTTCAAATGCCACACTATCACAGACTGTAGCTGTGAGCTGAGGGCACCTCTCCTGCTCGGCCTGTAGGGGGCAGCGTTCATGAGTGTAGCCATGGTGCCACAGGACAGTCTGCTACTTTACCTCAGCCTCAACGAGTGTTTACCTTTATCTGTGTGTGTGTGCGCGTGCGTGTGTGTATTTAAATAATAGCAGGCACTCTTTAATCCACATGTCGTCACCAGTGTGAGCATTTTTATTTGTAAAACCAGTGATTATGTGATTGTCTACAACTGTGTAACTTACCTTATTACTATGTGTGCTAAATGCATTCTTAATCCCTTGCTGTTGATTGGCTTGTAGACTAACCTGCAGACTCTAACCTTTGTACCCACTTCCTGCTCCCTGACCCTGTCCCACAGAGGTGGCCACTCTCAACCCCTCAGTCTCTAGTGCCTTGCTTCCAGGTAACACACAGCTCAGTTGGAAGTTTTATGTTATCTACTGTTTGTCTCTGTCCTGTTTTTAATTTGTTATGTGCTTGTTGTTTTTAAACTAGTGTCTCTTTGTCTTACTGTTTGTATGAACCCTTTATGATGACAGTGTTATGTGTCCATGCTGAGAGGAGACTCTCTGCACTGCTCCCAATGAGTCATTTGTTTTAGATGAAAAAAGGTTCTTCAACATGTCTACAAATGCATGCATGTTTCTGTGTGTCTGACACAAGCAAAGCCATGTCTTGTCTTTCTTCAGCCCGTCCAGACCCCCCCATGGATCTGGATTTGTCAGACCCAGCAGCACGCAGCGTTCGCCTCACCTGGATCCCTGGAAAAGAGCACAGGAGCCCCATCACAGGTAAGTAGGCACACATCAACCTGGATCCTGACAGGATTGTGTTATTTTTTTGAAACTGATCCTGTTGGGGAGACTGTGTAAGCAAAAGTAGCCTAGTTAGTTTCAGGTCACCACAGTTGAGACTTGATTCTGAATGGATGCTAAACTCAAAATCCTATTACTGAAGGATTTGGGTAAATTATAATCCATGTGGATACTGAAAGGTTGTAAAATGTATACTGGATCTTTGAACAAGCTGAAGTGGACAAATGGATGGGACATGGCGTGCTTCCAGAACACATGGACTCACAGACCTGCAGCAGGTTTTACTGTCTTGGTTTTTTCATTAGTTCTGTCTCTCCTCAGAGTTCTTGGTCCAGTTTGAAGAGGACCGCTGGGAGCCGGGTAGGTGGCAGAACTTGTCATCTTACCCTGGAGACCTCAACTCTGTCATCCTGCAGCTCGCTCCCTTTGTCAACTACCAGTTCAGGGTCATCGCCATCAACTCAGTAGGTCAGAGTGATCCCAGCCGCCCCTCGCCCCGGTACAAGACCACTGGAGCTGGTAAGGAGCATCGCATGCAATCATCTGACCTCTGATGTTTCAATTGGTCAGTCTTATTAGTTTACATGTACTCAAATTAGCTTTGGAAACGTATGTTCACTAAAGGTTTACAGTTGCAGTTGAATAAGTGTGAAGCTTTGCTGACTCTGGTTAATGTCAGTGCGCTCTGTTATGTTGAAACAAGCACCAGATGCCATTCCCAAAGGCCTACGGGGTTGGGGGTCCAGAAAGGACAATATGGAGATCACCTGGGAGGTAAGATGACGTCTCGTATGGGGAATGAATCAGTGAGACAGTGTAGTCTGCACTGAGAACATGTTAACAGTATAAGGAAACTGAGGGTCACCTGAATGCAGATGTGTAATCAGGTGACCATGACAAACGTTTTAGGCTGGTGGTTAGCACTGTCAGCTGAAAGCACAAAGTCCTGTGTGCAAAGGTGCAGCTAGGACTGTTTTGTGTGGTGGCACATGTTCCCCGCAGTGTTAAATAGGATCTTTATGCATTTTGTTACTAGCAGAGTGAAAAATGCCGAAGATAACAGTATGCCAGACATAAAACAGTATTTTTGCTTCAACAAGTTGATATTAGCTGAAAACGTGGCACATCTTGGCGTGATGTGCAGTGTGTCTATTTCACAAAAGTGGACAAAAGAGTAAAAGCAGCAGGCCCAAAACACTATTTACAACAGAAACACGATTGGAAAAAATGTAGTGTTGCGCTGACACAGGACCAAACAGATGGACCTTATGTTGATCAATCTAGGATTTGCATAAGCCTCATTAGAATGGTCTCAGTGTAAGAGCTCAACTTTTCAGTACAACAGTGATACTAAACACAGGGAACTTTGAATGCTCAGGCGGAGCAGAAAAGCACTATATAAGAACCATTTACAGCCAATGTGTGGACCTGGATAGAGAGAGATCCACAGTGGAACACCTTCAGTCATGCATGTGCCTTACCAACTAGTCCATGCATTCATCTTTAGTAGGCTTGATTACTGTAACAGCATCTTTACAGGTCTACCTAAAAAAATCAGTCAGACAACTACAGCTCATTCAGAACTCTGCTGCTCGAGTCCTCACTAAGACCAAAAAAGTGGACCACATCAGTCCAGCTCTGAGGTCCTTACACTGGCTGCCTGTCCGTCAGAGGATAGACTTTAAAGTTCTGATGCTGGCCTATAAAGCTCTGAATGGTTTAGGACCAAAATACATCAGTGACCTCCTGACCCAGTATGAACCATCCAGATCCCTCAGGTCATCTGGATCCGGTCTTTTATCAGTTCCCAGAGTCAGAACCAGACACGGAGAAGCTGCATTCAGCTTTTATGCTCCTTATATCTGGAACAAACTCCCAGAAAGCCTCAGATCAGCTGAAACACTCAGTTTATTTAAATCCAGGTTGAAGACTCACCTGTTCTCAGCTGCATTTGAATAAAGCACCAAATCCACACTTTAAGCTTAAATTTCAAAACTTACATTTAACTACTGATTTTATCTACTGTTCTGATTTTATCTGTTTTAATTTTATATACTGTTTTGTTTGTTTTGTTTGTTTGTTAAGTGGGTTTAGAGCTCTGGGTAGCTCCCCAACTGGGTCTAGAGAGTATTTTAAATTCAGGGAATTTAAAATAGAAAGTAGCTCGTCCACAGAAGGACTGGTAGCTCCCCTTACGATAAGGGTTCAGATCGCGCGAACAGGTGTGAAATGTGTGTGTTTAGTTAGTTTGTTTGTTTGCTTGTTTTAATCAATTTTAAATCATACTTTTTATTTGTTCTTGTTTCTAATGTCTCTGTAAAGCACTTTGAATCACCTTGTTGTTGAATTGTGCTATACAAATAAATTTGCCTTGCCTTGCCAGAACCTGGACCTCAACATTATTGAAATTGTATGGGATCAGAGAATCAAACTAAAGGGCGCTAACATCCAAAGAAGAGCTTTGCAGTGTCCGTCAAGAAGCCTGAAGAGCTAAAGAAAGCTTGCCTGAGAGAGTAGAACAGTACCCGTCTTAATTCTGTCAGCAAATTTGGATTTAGCTTCAGTCTTTTTAGTTTAAGTCATAATTAGGCATCTAACTTGTTTTAGGTGACTAAATATTATAAGATTGTCGTCGACTTAATCTGAAGTGAATTCAGTTAACTAAAAGTTTGTCATGTTTTTGCCGGGGTACTGTATAGTTTACAAAATGTTGTGATTTCCTTCACATCTTCTCTCAGCTTGTGAGATCAATTTTTCTGCCCAAGGAGATCAAAAGTCGTCCCGCTCGCTACACAAGCTGATTAATTCTGATTGGGTCTAATCTCTCCTGTCATCTGATTTTTATTGGTCAACAAAAGTGTCAAAACATTTCATCATAATTTTCATCTTCTTTTTATTAACAAAAATTATTAGCCAACAAACTCAACACTGGTTCAGACTCTGTCTTTTTGCCTTATTTAATGCATTTGCATGGATGTTTCACAGTTTCAGAGTGAATCTGCACAACTTTCTCACATTTCCTTGCATCAAGATAAAACGTTCCCCATAAAATGTTGCTTCATCTAACAGCGTTCCTTTTTGTTGACCAAAAACAAGATGATAAATAAATCAAAAATAATGCACAGAAATATGATGAAATGTATCAACATGTTCACAAATAAACACGACATGTTGTGGAATAAGCTTGGAAGTGTCCAATCAGAATTTATCCCCTTGTACAGTAAGGTTAGATGCAAAACTTCCAATGTCTAAGTAAATGTATATAACCACCAAACAGTTATAACATGTAATTTGATAAGTATAACTCATCGTTTGTCCTGCCAATATGTGTAAATTCAGGCGCATCTCTCTGTTGACTTTTCTAGCCTCTCCTTGATCTGGAAAGAAATGGTCCAAACCTGCACTACATTGTGTGGTGGAGACGAAAAGACGCTGAAGAGGAGTGGAATAACCTGACCACAGTGGGGACTAACCATGTGGTCCACAATACAGAAATCTATGTGCCTTATGAGCTCAAAATCCAGGCCAGGAATGAGTTTGGAGCAGGACCAGAGTCTAACCTGGTCATTGGATACTCTGGAGAAGACAGTAAGTAAATCCTGACTACGAAGCAGCTTTTCATTTATGAGAGCAACCCATGTGGAGGCTGAGGAAAAGTGAAAACCAAACTGACAATTTGTTTTGAAAATACTGCTGACTGTTCACACATATTGTGTCCACTTGGATGTGTTCAGAGCCCACTGATGCTCCCACTGACCTGCGGGTATCAAAGGTTGACAGCACCAAAGTTATCATCCACTGGAACCCTGTGGACCTGAACTCTGTCCAGGGAGAGTTCAAGGAGTATAGAGTAAGACTGCCTTTGGTTTTTCTAATGAGAACAAACTGCAGAGTTGGTACATTACGCATCATTTCACATCCTCATTTTAGGTTTGACAGAGTTTTAGTAGGTAAAGGTGATGCATGGTCACGAATTGAACTGCGATTGGGGAAGGCCTCGAAGGGGACTGGCGATGGCAGCCTGGCAGATCCCCATGGACTAATTAGAAGTGAAGAAGTTAAAGAAGGGAGGGTGGGGCACGTAAACGAGAACGACGGCTTGCAGAACTGGGAGAACCTATATAGATGAGAACCGGAGGGAGCGTGTTTGGAGGCGTGGTCCCGCTCCTGTTATTCCGTTACATAATTTCCAATTATCTTTCATGATCAATTTTGGATAATTTCTCTTGTGTAATGTCCTCCCATCTCCTGTACGTCTCGCCTATTAACACCTTTCTTCCCATTCTGCTTCCCAGTTATACTACTGGCGTGAGTCTAGCCAGGTTCCAGGTCTGGTGGTCAGTAAGGAGAAGAAGGTCAAAGGTTTCTATAGCACTACGGCCAAACCATCTGGCATGCTCAGCGACCTGGCGCCCTACTCGAACTACAAGATGTTCATGGTTGTGGCCAACAATCGCTTTGAGAGTCAACCCAGCAACACTGTGGCATTTACCACCAAAGAAGGAGGTGAGGATGCTGTGCACCCACCCTAAAAATAACAGGTTTATACAGGGGGAAATAATTCTTTGATCGTGTGCTGAATTTGTAAGGTCATCTTTCAAATAAATGAACAGTCTAAGATCTGACGGTACATGGTCCCATCCATTGGCCCCTCAGTGTACCCAGAAAAACACCACTGTGTTTGACTATAGCTTGGCGTTCTTTTAGATGTTCACTGGTTAACTCCAGACAGGCTCGTACATGTGTCTTCTTGAGCAAGGGGACCTGGTGGGTGTTCCAAGAAAACCCATTAATGCCACAATGGGTTGAAGTTCAGTTCATGTTCTGCTGTTCAGTATTGAATAGCAGAAAACAAGACAGTGTCTGACAGCACTGTCAGAAACGAGAGTGGTAATAAGTGTGTAATAAGAAACAAATAAGGCAGAAAATAGAGATTTATGATGGGAAACTGCTCTCAAGGAACACCACGAGACAGAGCTGTGCAGGAAGTCCAATTTTATCATGGTGGAAGCAAGACAGCAAAGGGAAGACAAAATCAGCTTGTCTTACCTTTGTGAAGAATTTTGGTCGCAGACTTACAAAACCTGAAGCTCGGAAACTGTGAGATGTCTCCTTTCAGCAAAGTCCATGTACGTCCCCGAGGGAGATCCGCGCTTTGTGTTTACATCTTTTTGCAGAATCTGTTTAGCTGCTCTCTAATCGTTTGCTGTTTTAGCTCTTTGGTGGTTGTTGAAATAGTTCTGTGAGCTTTTAGCTGAGATTGTTGACGTGTCTGTGGACACCACATGTCTATATTTAAGTAACAAATCTGGCAGTACATCCTGTTAAACCAGATGTTCTCCCTCTCATCCCTGGTATTGGAGGCATTGGGGTTCAACAGGTTAACTGTTCATTGTTTAATGATGGAGGTTTTCATCAGTAAAACAGTCCAAAGTTTGAGCTTGTTTGTGGTTCAGAATCATAAACGGCTTCAAGCTCACTCAGACACTGAGCCATGGCTCTGTGCCACATGCACACATGTCTGCATCTCTGCCATTCAGACACACTTTATATACACTTCATGTGATGTCACTGTCAATACTGAACT